TTAACAACAATTATTTATTAACTTTGGACTGTGTCATAATACAGAAGCAATTGCTGATGAAATTTTTTCATTTTTGTTTGGTTACAAAACCAAACTTTTTCTTGTTCCATTCTTCATTTTGTTTTGTGTATTTTCATGCATTCATTTTTACAAACAAAACAATAAATTAAAAGAAATTTAAAATATGTTTTTCTAAGCTTTGAACATTAATGTTTTAGTTTTGTTTCGCACGGGTTGTCGCTAACAATTAAAAAAGGTTCAGACGATTGTGTAAGGAACAGACCTCTTGAAACAAAGTCCCAAAAATGGGTGTTTTATTGACTATGATTTACAATTAGAAATAAACAGAATACCTCAAAGGGGTTCAAGCACACGAGTACTAAAAGAAGTGTTTAAAGTTAAACTAATAAATTGAAATTACATATTCTCTGTTTAGAATGTTTGATTTGGAGTCTTTTTCTCGATGTGTTCTTTTCATTTTTATACTTCCTTGATAATTTCTTCGTGATAAACCGTTTGGAAACTGTCTGATTGCTCTATAACTACCCACTTTTTTCATGATGGCTAACTTGTCGTGGAACTGCCGTCTCTAACCGTTGCCATTACTCTCGTCGTTCAACCGTCTGCAATTGGGATCCTTGAATCGTGGAGTGTGATAAGATTGCTCAATAACTGCTTTAATAACTGTTGTTTTATATGACCATAATATCTTATGTTTGCTATATCCTGGGCGATTCGAAGGTTTGGGCGAGAACGGAGTCATCGCTCTGGACGATCATAAGGCACTTCATTCGCTATGATTCTGGGCGTCTTGCAAGATTGGGCGATGATGTTACTTCGTTCATGGGTCTCCACTGTATTCATCAATTGTCATATTTGGCCTTTATTTTGTACTCGATGTCTGAACATACTAATGTTGACAAAAACAATATGTAAATTTTGTTACATTTTAATTTTCATAAGACTTCAAGGTAGAGAAATGACTTTCATTATATGTCTTTCCTAAATAGCTACAAGCCTACAAGAGACCTTTACATTACACCTCAAAGCAGAGAAATGACTTCCATTATATACGGTTTATTTACCAAAAACAGACGCACATAGACAGATTTCTATCTTTTTTCATGTTAAATACGGTTGACAATTTCAGCTTGTTGATTGATCTTGCTCGACCTACTCGATCATTAATTTTATTTGGTCGAGTATTAGCTCGATTAACTTGACTAAAAGTCGAGTTGTGTGCGCACCTATGTTTGACCTTTATTTTTCCAAAATTCGTTTTCAACCACACACTGTCCCAAAAACCAATATTACATGTAAACTCAAAATTTTTCCTTATTTTTGAACCACACATTCTCGAACAAAACACTATTCCAAAATACATTTTGACCAAAAAAAATGAGGCTCAAACAAGGGGTCGTTTTTAATAAGGTTAAATGTAAACAAATTATCTTCGTTTTTAATAAGGTTAAATTGACATTTTAACCAATAAAATTAAGGCTCGTTTAAATGAAAAACTTGAGAAATGATCATCGTTTTCTATTTTTACCAATGAAACAGGACCATTTTGAAAATTCACATATTTATTAAAGTTATGTAACTTATTTAAATTAATTTGGGCTCAAAATAGTATTACAGTTTTAGCCTTCAAAAATTTTCAAACATTCAAAGGCGTAGAACAAAAGCCCCGGTCAATTCAAGTTAACACGTTTTCAAATTTTAAATAAACTGTCTTTGAATTTGTTTTCAATTATTAAATAAATTCTCTTTGGATTTTTTTCTCTATTTTCTGTATAATATTTTCACCTAATTAAACATTTGGTAAAAAAATAATTATTTTAAAAGATATTTTCCTGGAAACAATGTTTTATTATTAAACAACCATCTTTATGTAAAAGAAAAATAATCATCAATCATATTGCATTTGAAATAGTGTGGTTATATTGCCACCACAATTTTTATTTGATACACTATATTTTAATTGTAATTAAACTTTTCAATCTTTGATCATTATAGCAATTATTTTCTTAACTATTTTTTCGTTAAATTTTTATTTTCGACTTTTCAGTAATTAGTATGTTGAGACCTTGATTATGATTTATGTAAAAATATTTTGTTTTCATGTTTTGAAATGAGGAAAAAATATTTTTTTTTCACTTTTTTTTTTTAAATATGGTGAAAAAATATTTTACACTATTTCAGAGGACTTCTGGATAAAAAATTGTTATCAAATACAAAATGTGTTAAACAAAGCAAATTTTGAGAATAAGAATGACATGAAAATCGTTAGAGACAAATGTTATAATGAGCAAAGATTAAGAATTTTAAGTGCAATTAAAAATTGGTGCAAAAAATAAAAATTGTGGTGTGAATATAATTATTCAAATCATACTTTCAATTAGTCAATCCAAATTCTATATTTTATTTTCTATTTTCATCAATTAAAATAAAAATACTTATATAATGGAACCCAAAACTCAGCTCAATTGCTTTCATACACTGTAAGTTAAATGAAAAGAACACATTGATCCCTACCTACGAATTAAAGTTCCATACAAATAAAAAGATCTCTAGAGATCGTCATTTCTTGACACTAAAAACGTATGTATCCGATACCGTTAAGTTGGATAGAGAAACTAGAACAAGCAGCAAAAGACAAAAGATTTTCATTTGGGATGAGATTAAAATTAATGGGAACTCTATAATTTAAATAAATCTTGTTTTCCCCCATTGTCATGACCCATTCAAATTATATTTTTATGCAAATTTTTGGAGTCAATAGTCAAAACCTATGCCATAAAATTAAAATATGAAATATTCAAGTCATAAATTTCAACTGTTCTCTCTTTTCATGCACTATATATACACACATATTACATGTATACACATACATATAAAAATACATCTCCAATTTGCAAGTATATTTCAGAATTAATTTCTCTTTGCTTGTTGAACAAGATGAGAGCTCCAAATGTTTTCTTAACCATCATAGCCATAATTTTTGTTGTAAATACTAAACCCTACGAAGCTGCAAGAATTCTTGATAAAGAAGAACAACAATGGATGAAAATGGGGCATCTAGTATTGCCATCCTTGCAGAGGCGACCCGTTCGCCCTCCTTCGCCAAATGGCTGCACATGGGTGGGCGGCAGCGGTGGCAGGCCATGCCGGAGCTCTGTCAGCGAGAAGAATTTTGCAGGGCGTAATGTGGCGGCGCCTCCACCACTTGCAGCTGATAATGCCTATCCAGAGCAAATGGTTCAGTTTGGAATGGCTACTAATCGTAAATAAAGCTGCTTTATTACCATCACAGAAGTAAATACAGATATATTAACAGTGACTAATTTTTTTGAACCAAACATTTTTTCTTGTTTCATTATTTGAACTTCCTTTGTAACTTTGGTGTATGTATTCAATTTTACAAACAAAGGAAAAGAAATTTAAAATATGTAGCTTTGAACATTATGTAATTAATGTGTTAGTTAAAAAGCAGAATTTGTTCACATTAATCATGGACAATTTTTTCATATATGAAAAAGCGGGTGGCTCGGAAAAAAAAAAATTGATTTATATTTTATCTTCAACACGACTTTGTTTCAATGTTATAGTGAGCCAACCAATGAGAGATGCACATTAGAGTTTCATTTATATCCAATTAGGAAAAATGGTAGTATATCTTTTGTCTTGTTTCTCATTTTTTTCGTTTAATAAATTAATCATGCAGTATCGACCATACGATAAATTAATCATGTAGTGATGTTACCTTATTCTTAGAAAATCTTCCAGTCAACGGTCAAATCCTATCATCAAATTGAGTTTTGTGGAAAGTTCAAATTCAAATTCAATCTCAAAACTTTTTAGAATAATGATATTTGTACATCACCGTTGAGTTTTGATACCCAATAAATTCGGTCGATGATTTAAAATAGATGTCGAATAATTTATCGACGCCATAGGCTTGGCTCGACCCAGAAACGGCCGACACTTTTGGAGGTCCCAAGTTGGAGTTGGGTTGGTGGTTTGATTAGTGTGTGGCTTTGGATTATTGTTGGCCCATTAACTTGGTCCATTTGGAGAGGTATATCTTTAGCCCATTTAAATGGATAAGTTAGGCCCAAATTTAATAATTTAATGGGTAATTGGCGCAAAACGTCCCTACCTTTGAAGGTTTTTGTGGAAACGTCCATATCTTTCGTTTTTTGGCGTAGAACGTCCATACCTTTCACATTCTTTGCGCTGAAAGTCCTTGTTACCAATTTTTAACATAAATTGACCATTATTCCCTCCTATATAAATAAAATAAAAAAGAAAAGAAAAATAAAGAATAAATTGCAATCTGGTCCTAACAAATTTATACATTGTTTATAGGAAATTGTACCTTCAATCTAAATAATACAAAGACAATATTCTTGTAATCAGACACAAAACATAGAGGGGAAACCGAATAAGAGCGATCAGAGAGAGAGAATAGGGAAAGGCGGCTTCAATTTTCTGATTACGAAGAGAAAATGGAGGGGAAAAATCATAAATTTGAAAATGCGGAGAAATTTTAGAATGATGAAGGAGCAAATTGAAGAACTAGATTCATGGGTTTCAAGAAACATGTAAGAATTCAAGAAAATAAAAGCTGAGTGCGGATCAATATTTCTCTTGAATTTTAACATCACCATTTTACAGATTCTTTTACAATGGTGAGGTGGCAAAAATAAAGAGAGGGAGTTTTATTTTTGGAGGATACTACAAGTACAAAATGGATTACAAAAGGGATTACAAAATCGCCAAGTGGCGCCCCACTATTGGAGGGGCGCCTGTTGCGTCAGGCGCCCCTCCAATAGTGGGGCGCCACTTGGCATTTTGTAATCCATTTTGTACCTGTAGCATGCTCCA